AACCTTAAAGTTTTCCTATGATATAATTATGTCGATGGGGATTTGATACAGAATCATAGTTGAAGTTGTTTGGAATTTTAACCTAAATGGAGGGATTTGATTTGTTATCCTTTGCTACACAAAAGTTTAGATTTCCTGTTGCTGGATTTCAGATTTGGACGCATCGGCCGTCTTGTGACACGTGCTGCAGCCATGAGTGAGAAGGTCCAAGTTGTTGCCATCAATGACCCTTTTATCGACCTCGACTACATGGTGAGCCACCTTTTTCTTTAACAGATTTATTTTTGGTGTGAAAGTTCTCCATATCGTCTGGGGGGGGGCTGAACCAATAAATTCTTTTAAATGTTTTAAAATGCATTTAAACCTTACCAAATCTGTCCATTTTTAAACTTTTCTTCTAGGCTTACATGTTTAAGTACGACTCTACTCATGGTACTTGGAAGCATGGGGAGGTGAAGGCAGAAGGCGGCAAGCTGGTTATCGGCAACATGCATATCATGGTCTTCCAAGAGTATGCATCCACTAGATTGAGTTGCAGACTTCTAGTTGGTATGGTTTATGATTAACCTTGTGTAAAAATGTGCAGGAGGGACCCTGCTAACATCAAATGGAGTGATGCTGGTGTGGACTATGTGGTTGAGTCCACTGGTGTGTTCACCACCATTGAAAAAGCTTCAGTAAGTTCACCAGCTGCACTGTGCTAAAAGGAGATTTGGGGGGGTAGTTTTGTCTTTTTGGAGCTAGGGCTTTCGCAGACTTTTAGATTATGAGTATTTAACATGGTACTTGATGTAAAAAAAAAAAATAACTCTACTGGTTTAAAAGCAAAACAAAGTTTTGGTTTCTACCTTCCAGGCTCACTTGAAAGGTGGAGCAAAGCGGGTGGTGATCTCAGCTCCAAGTGCTGATGCTCCTATGTTTGTCATGGGTGTCAACCACGACAAGTATGACAATTCCATGAAGGTCGTCAGGTCAGTCATTCTCTTTAGTAATTTCCTTTGGGAAAACAAACTCTTTTTGAGATGCTAATCCAAACCATAGTGTCTAAGAAGGTTTTATTTTTTCTTTCTCCCCCTCTCAGCAATGCTTCCTGCACAACAAACTGTCTGGCTCCTCTTGCCAAGGTCATCAATGACAACTATGGCATTGTTGAGGGTCTCATGGTAAAATATTTAAACCTTATGTTTCCATTTTTGTTAAAGATAATTAGGAAGGCTTACCCTTTCACTTAAAAATTTTTATTGAGGGTCTGAAGAAATTCTCCTCAGTTCAGAGGTTTCAAAATTACCTCAGAAGGCACAGATCTAAGAACCTATTGATAAGGAAATGGGTTTCCTTAAGCCAGAAGTTCAACACGTGATCATTTTATTCAGAGCTGGTGAGAGCAGGACTTTCAGTAGCTACCGGGAAGGCTAAACGGAATACAGCACAACTGCTCTGTTTAAAAATGTTTTTGGCTTTGTTGTGGAACATGGGTAGTAAAAATATTGCATCAACTCGTTGCATGGAACTGCTCCGTCTTATTAATGTTATTTGACCGCTATATAAGACAAACATTTGGAGTATTTTGAAGCTCTTATGACTGCATTTTTACTGTGAACACCGAGCCTGGTTTAAACTGATCAGTAAAATGTTGCTCAATCAATTTTTTCTCTTATCCAGAGCACTGTCCATGCTACCACTGCCACACAGAAGACTGTTGATGGCCCCTCTGGTAAAATGTGGAGAGATGGGCGCGGTGCCTCGCAAAACATCATCCCCGCCTCTACTGGAGCTGCCAAGGCTGTGGGAAAAGTTATCCCAGAGCTGAATGGGTAAAGATGGTTTATTACCCAATAAATTCAGATGAATTACTGATGATGCATTCAGGTTAATTCATGTTTTAAATCCATCACAGAAAGTTGACTGGTATGGCTTTCCGTGTCCCAACCCCAAACGTCTCTGTTGTTGATCTGACTGTCCGTCTGGAGAAGCCTGTAAGTTTAGCAGAACCTTAATAGTCGCTCTGTTTTTCTTTAGAGCAAAGATCTGCCCATTTATCTGAATCTGTGTACCATCATTATTTCAAAGTCTGAAATTCATGGTGAACCATGATGCTGCTGAAGATTCTCAGTGATTCATGTCATAGTCATTTTAAAAAGACAATCCACTGGACTTTGTTTCCAACTTGTTTAGCTTCCCATCCAGGAAGCTTTTTCAATTCAAAATGTTAGAAATGGTGTTGATTTCAAGGCTTAATATAGTAGCCCAACAAAGCCTTGTTTTTATTTAGAAAACATGCTACCCCAACCCCTCTACAGGGGAACAAAAGAACTCTTCTATGCAGCCAGGCCAACAACACCCTTAGCAGAGACATAGACAGGTATGGGGCATTACAGGCTGACAAAAGAAGCCAAACGATCCCCTTTCTAAAGGGGTAGACCTGTTCGTCCGTTTCAGTTTGGATGTTTTCTAAACAAAATCTAGGCTTTGTTAGGCTACTGTATAAAGCAACTCTACACTAATTCTGACATTTTAAATTGAAAAAGCTTCCTGGATGGAAAGTGAAACGTCTTCAAACTTGGAAACAAAGTCCAGTGGATTGTTTAACTTTTGAATACTGAACCAATATTTGTCTTAATTTTAGATTCCTGTACATGCTTCTATAAGTTGTATGTTCTTGTATTTTGTACTAAATTATATAAAACGTTACTTGGCAATGAAGCATTTTCTGATTCTGTTTTCAAACACCATAATTTGTAATTGAACCTTTTCACTGGTCTATCTAATCAGGCAAAGTACGATGACATCAAGAAGGTTGTCAAGGCAGCTGCAGAGGGGCCATTGAAAGGAGTTCTTGGCTACACAGAAGATCAGGTAAATGGAGTAACAATTAACATGCTAGTGTAATCTGATGTTCTGCCAGCAGATGGCAACACATCTCCAAGCAGGAGAGTATAGGTGCCTATCTTAAGCTGCTTATTTTGCTGTTATCTCTCTCTAAACTTGATTTTGTGCTCAGGTTGTGTCCACAGACTTTAATGGAGATTCTCACTCATCAATCTTTGATGCTGGAGCTGGCATCGCATTGAACGACCACTTTGTCAAGCTGGTTTCATGGTGAGTGTTTGTCAGGATCAATCATGCCATTACTCTTAGAATCACTCAAACTCTTTCAGTCAGATTTTAAAAACAGATGTTTAAAAAATAATTATGGGAAATTTAGTTGAAACAAATAACTTGGACTTTTTATTTTTGACATGCAGGTATGACAATGAGTTTGGCTACAGCAACAGAGTGTGTGACCTGCTCCAGCACATGTTCTCCAAGGAGTAAAGCTAATGCTGCTGCTAAAGGGGGGAAAAGAATGGGACACATGTCCTGGTACCTGACTGTCAACCTGAATAAAACACTGAGCTGTAATAAAATGGTCAAATTATCCTATGATGTGTTTTGATTCCCCCCCCCATCAAAATCCTTTTACTGAAAGGTGATTCTCTTCTGTGACCACTTGACTGTTTAGCTAAATATTTAATTCTATTACTTTTTTTTTTTTTCAAAGTGTATAGCTTTGTTTTCTAAGGTACAAACCTAAACTTGAAATATCCAGCTGTGAAGTATTTTCCGTTTTCAACATCTGGTTCCTTCAGCTGAAGAAGACTAGCAGAGATTAAAGAAATAATGGGATCTGTTTTTTGCCAATATCTACCAGGGTAACTTGTTAGAATTTTTAAATCTCCCTGGTTAAGTCAGGACACTGCATTTAAAGAGAATTTTTAAAGTTGGCAGGTTGAATGGAGGCTTTGAGGAACCAAATGCAGAGATGAGTTTGGCTGATTTAGTGAAGGTTTCAGAGGGAACTTGGAAGAAAACCAAAAAATCTAATATCAAGAAAAAAAGTGGGGATCAAGAGATGAGGAAGCGACAAAACAAGGAACCAGCCCTGAGTGAAAGCTCTGCACTGATGAGCTCCATCTGTGTAGACTACCCAGGTTCTCCCCAAAGATTCTCTCTGGAAGAGCTGCATAACTCTCACACTGGAACCCTGACAAATTGTCTCCATTCAGAAATCAAGGGGAAGTGCTAAAGCTTTTCATTGTTTTGGGAGATAACCTAAATGTGATTCAGTGTCTTCACAAAAAAACGGTAAAAAGCTGCAAAGGTAACGGAACAAGGCTATTTTCATAGTAGATGGCAGAGGAACTAATAAATGCAAGCTAGTACCAACCTGAAATTGTTCACAAAACTTAAAACTCATGTAATTAGTTTCAGTTCCTACAAAACTAAAGGAAATTGGAGACAAACTGCTCAAGCAGGCAACTCAAAAGAATCAGTTCTGGTTCTCTGCATTTAACGATCTGTTTTTTCTTCCCATCTTAAACCTTAATCCCCATCTAACTAAAACATTACATTTGTTTGAAAACAAAATTTAAACTGTTGAGCCATAATTTAAACAATGTATTTGATGCAGACAGTGCAGCACAAAGTTTGAAACCAGATGATGGCAGCATGATGCTGTGGGTTCAGAAGAAACCAAACTCTAACCTTTTTAAACAGTCAATCATTAAAGCAGGAAATGTATTAAAATCCTTAAATCTTGGCATTAATAGGAGTGTGGCCTATTGAGGTTAACTTTTTTGTTCTAACTGTAATAAATATGATTCAGATGGATCATCTTTGACATTTTTATGTCTATGAAAAATGTTCCTGTGGCTAAACATGTTTAGGTTGCTCATTGTGCATGTTTTTAATTTTTTCTTTGCTTAAAGAAAAGGGTTCACATTGAGGGACATTAAAGGTCAGAACAGAAGAAATTCTTAAATTGAATTCATGGGAAATTCATGTGGTAGCTTCTGTGCGACATCAGGTTTTTGGACTAATAAATTAAAAGCAGTTTCCCTTTCTTTAAAGAAACAATCACCAGAAATGATCAATAATTTGAGAAATGGGTGGAAATTTGGGTTTCTTGGTTGATTCAGTGAAATTTTCGGTGATTCAGCTGTTCAGTGCTCCTCTTACAGAGGTATTACGGTAAAGCCCCGCCGCAGTCATGCACTGATGTTTATCCCTGACTGGGTTCTGTTCCTCGGCCGCTTCGGACTGATTTCGCCTCCTTAAGCGGAGCCTGAAATAGCCGTTTCTTCTTCCCAGGTATGTAAGAAAGACTCTTTAGGAGATTAAAACGAAGCTGCGTAGGTTCATTGAAAAGGTTGGAAAAATGCATGTGCGCACCACTGTTTTTCCTCTAATGCTGCGTAAAAATAAACTGGCCGCAGGACGCAGATGTGCTCCATCTGCGAGGGATTGCTTATATTTTATTATAAAAACCGCGTTAGTAGATCTGTTTGTTTATTGAGCTTCTGTAATGGGGTTTGGTCTTTTTTTCTGCCTTATAAGGTCAAATCATCCTGATGTATCTGATTTACTCCGCAGCTCCTCATCCTGAAATAGATCCTGCAAATCAGGAAGGAACAGATTAAAAGAAAGGCGTCCAGGTTCTGGTTCAGATCAAGGGTCTCCCTCTGAATTACTTCCCGAGTTGAATCCACAGAAGTCTGGGTTCATGCCGGATTTTGAGCATTTCAGATTTTCCTACTCTAGAATGAATCCAGTCCTGGGGGAGAATGGCTTCCTGGCTCCGCAGCAGCATCACCAGATGACAGGCCAGACTGAAGCAGCCATCCCTGAGCCAGGCTACATCCTGGGGGACAGCGGCGGATTTGGGCCTGATGGCCTGTATGGGTTGGACCTGGGTGTCCTGCCGCCGTCCTCGAGCCTGACCTACCTGCACCGGACGCCCCCTGCGGCTACGGCGCTGCGCAATGACCTGGGATCCAATATCAGCGTCCTAAAGACCCTGAACCTGCGCTTCCGCTGCTTTTTGGCTAAAGTGCACGAATTGGAGCGCAGGAATAAAGTTCTGGAGAAGCAGCTGCAGCAGGCTGCAGAGAACAGCAGCGGAGGGGAGGGCCACCAGAAGTCACTGACCAAAGACATGGGGGTCCAGACTGGATTTATAGGACCTATTCCATCCAGACCGAACCACATCCCGCTCCATACTGTCAGTAACTCAGCATATCTACCTGGTGGCCTCCTCTCCCCTACCCTGAACCCCCCTCCCCTCCTGGGAATCAACCTGAACACTGACTCCAACTCTAACCTCACCTCCTTGGCTTCCTCCGCCCTTGGTGTTCCTAAAAGTCCTAGCAGCGCAACCAAAACTAATATCAATGACAAGCACGCCCCCTACACCGGTCCAGCCCACAGCACCACACTGCCTCCACCACCACGCTTCCTCCCTGGAACCATTTGGTCCTTCAACCACACCCGGCGCTTCGGTATGGGGAGGGAGTCATGCGTCACGGGGCCCGGGGTCTCCTGGATGCACCCAGACGGTATCGGGGTCCAGATCGACACAATCACACCTGAGATCAGAGCTCTGTACAACGTTCTGGCCAAAGTGAAGAGAGAAAGGGACGAATACAAGAGAAGGTAGGCCTGAAACCCTGCAGGAAATTCACTTTAAAACATGAATCTGTTTGTTTCTTTATGATCTATTGAAATTTAGCTTAATGTTTTTGTTTTGTTTGTTTGTTTGTTTGTTTGTTTTTTTGCGATTTTATTTAGGAGAGGGTGTGTATACTCTCTAAATATAACAATCATTCATTTCCAGCTATGGAGATCCATAATAATTTAATACACTTAAAACACTGAATGTTTGTTAAACTGGAAAAAAAATTGGTGAAAATAAATCAGATCAGATTTTTATGAAGCTAAATTGAGGCCATAAAGGTTGTAAAAAAAAAAAAAAAAAAAAGTGTTCAAAAGAAAAACTACTTTTCAGATTCAAGTTTTATTTTGAGGATTTTTATTCCAAAATTAGTTTCTTCTGAACAAGCTTATTTTTCAGGTTAAATTTTCTAAACAAACCATTTTTTAAGGTTTTAAGGTATTTTTTTCTGTCTTTTGAGCAAACTTTTTTTCATTTTTTTTTTTCTTGAGACTTTTTTCAAGTTTAATATTTTTTGTTGTCTTTTTTTCCCTTTTTTTTAATACAAACTTTAAAAGCCTCATGTAACGTTTCATGTTGAAGTAAACTGGTTTTGTGACATTATTAATTTAGTAAAAAAAATTGCATCTTAGTGTCAGGGAACAGGCACTATTGTTTATTTTTTTCTCTTTTGTATTTATTAATGAATTAAAGGCTAATATTCATTTCATTATTTCCAGTGAATTTTTAGAAAGTTCTATGTTTCGTCCTTTTCTCCACCACCAATTAATGTCCTGACACCAATCATCAAATTAATTGACAAGGGCTGATAATGCTGACTTGGGGAAAAAAATAAACTGACTTCATTACTTAGTGTTTCAGTACCTGGGGAATAAATGTTTCTGCAACTCATTCTTTCATCAACATAGATTTCAGGCTTTTATTTTTATTTCATCCCCTGTAGTGGCCTGTTTTTTCTCACAGCAGGAATATATAAGACTGGTGAAAATTAGCATTTATAATGTTTTGCTTTTTGTGAGGCTCCTGCTTGATCCAAAGCTGTTTTGAAATGTTGAAGCTGTTTCATTCTGATGTAAAATGTGATTTAAGCAAAGTTCAAGTAAGCTGTTATTGTGACTTCATCCCCTTTTTCTATTTATAAAAACTCAGAATCTAAGTAAATTCCAAGTTTAAACACTTTGGGCAGTTTATTTGAATCAGTTATAGATCCACACAAGTGTTCATATCTTCGATCAGTGATATTAAACTAATTCAAAGAGTTTCAGTAAAGCAGCAGGTTTGTTGCAAACATAATTTAGTTCATCTAATAAATTTTGTCTTTATTTTGCCAATGTCTCCATTTCACCCAGTTTGAATTCTGACTTTATATAATATTATATTAGCTGTATTCAAGAAAAATGAAAAGAAATGTATAATAACTTTCCATTATCTATGTAACAGCTTTGACTGAGATGATTTCTAACCTGGACGAGTGTTTGATGCAGGAATACAGGGTTCTCAGTCTGATTGGAACAGTTGGAGGATGTGTAAAATTAACAGTTACCTATAATTACATAATGTGTGTTTACAGCCTCATATGTGGGGCAGTGGATGCAGGTGTTGAAGGGTTGCCAGTTTGAACTCCAACTCTGGCTTTCTTTGTTGCGTTCTTGGGCAATACACTTCACCCTCATTGGTGGTGGTCAGAGGGCCCGATGGCGTCTGTGTACAGCAGCCTCGATGTTTATCAGTGAGCCCCAGGGCAGCTGTGGCTACAAAGTAGCTTACCACCAAGTGAATGGATAAATGACTGAATCTAATGCAAAACCTTTTTCAGACCCCTGGCTTGAGTAGAGGCTGTATAAGTGCAGCCTTTTTGCCATTTAATTAAGCATATAGTCTTTTCTTATAATTAAATATTTTGATTTACCGTATAATACAAACATTTAAATCGATTAATACATTTTCCTTTATATGTATTTTGATGTTCACAGAGACAGTCCCTTCTGTTTAACTCTCTGTGATCTTTTTTCCATCTATTTGCCCATCCCTGATTAAAATGTATGGTAAACTGCTTTTATAATTGTGCAAGAAGTCTCAGGTCTTGAAAAGCCAGTTATTTTGTAATTGGGATCTCATAGACCGGTTTACTGTAGAGTCTCAATAATCTTATTATCTTGTACTTAAATTTAGACTTTGACTCAACTTTATTTATACCTTGGGATTACTCCTTCAGTGAAATTCTGGTTCCAGTAGCTTATATGGAGTACAAAGAGTTAAAGCAAGATGCCATTAAAGATAATAATGCAACAGACAATATAAAAAGAGTGTATATAGTACAAAAAAGCTTAAAACAAAGTTGTAATGTCCTGGGATATGTTTCCTTCGGATATAAAAATATCTGTGAAGTAGAGAGCTAAAGGATTATTGCACTTGTACTGCAGAAATGCTACACAGTAGTTGGCATGTGTTATTGCACAGTGAGAAAGAAGAATATTGCACGTGAGTGACAATAGGTAATGCTTTGCATAAGATGTTCAAGGAGGGAGGTGCTGACTCTTGTCCCTCTTCTTATCACCTCCTCCTTCCCCCAAGTGAGGAGTTGTACAGCTTGATGAATTGGGGAAAAAAGGAGTTCAGAGGTCTGTTGCTCCTACATTTAGGGAGGAGCAGTCTCCCACTGATCAGGCTCCTCTGATTGGAGACAGTTTGCAGAAGGTGTCTGGCATAGTGCATAGTATCCAGCAGTTTGTTAAATGTGTTTTGCTCTACCACGGTCACCAGAGAGTCCAGCTTCTTGCTAATCACAGAGCCGGCTCGCTTGACCACTTTGTCCAGTCTGGAGGTGTCCTTGTTGGATGTGCTCCCCAGCACACCACAGTGTGAAAGAGGAAGAAGATGAAGAGAAGAAGAAGAAGTTTATCTGAATTTATCCGAGCATAAGAAATAACTTAAAAAATTTAAGCAATTCTTAATTAATTCATCTCTGATTTCTTAATGTTCAAGAGCCATCTCTTTATTTAGTTTTTCTCTTTTGTTCACCATGTCCCTGGAAAAAACTATTTGTAGTACTTATTCTGTGTGAATGGATAAACTGTCTAAAAAAAAGCAAGTATTAAATGGTTAGATGGTAGTGTACATATCCTCCTCAAGCCTGTGCTCCTCCTCTCCCTCTTCTTCCGCCTCCCTGCTGATTTCTGTTTTGCTACCTGCAATGCAGCAGCAGCCTGTGACCGCCAGCGGTGATGTAATCCAGCCTGCCGTCTCCCTCTCTGTCTCCTCTCCCTGTCTCCTAATGCTTCAGTGGGTCTATCTGTCAAAATCTCCCCCGCTCCAGCTTTGCTGTGCTCCTTAAATCTTCTCTAAATCGCTCCCTTCATATTTAGCTTTATGTCCTGCTGTTCTTGCTGACTCCTCCATCTTTTGATCCATGGGTAACAAATGGGACGAGGGTTAAACTGTTACTGTTTGCTAGTGTATGAAACATTGTCTCTCCTTATGGAAACCAGTGAGCATAAAGTTTGAGAGTATTGAGAGATTGATGCTCTAAAGTGTTGCCATGACTCATGCTCTGCTGAAGGAGAAAACAAAGCAATTAAAGGAGAGGGGATTTCTGCTTATTCATAACGCTATCGACCTTAAATCAACTGTCTAGGCGCCGTTGATCTTTTCAATTTTGCCTCAGTTTCTCTCTGTTTTTTTTTAACAGTCATGTTTTGCTTTTAACAATTCATATCAGAACTCAATACTTGATATATTTGCTTTGACATTATTCTTATTACTTATAAACTGTCATAAAGTATTTAAAACATAATATAAAAGGCGTATTTCAGACTGTAGTGTTTTAATGATACAGCATTTGATAGTATTTGATGCATCCATTTAGATAATCAGCAAGAAGAAAATGTTATTAAAAATTGCAAAATCCTGATAAATATTATTATTTAAGGACAGAAAAAAGTAGCTATAAACCATGACTAATGAAAACCTGCAGTAAACAGCTCTGCTTCTTAGCAGTGGGTTTACGTCACTGCTTTTCTGTAACTTAGCTATCTACTTTGATCAGCCCTCCTGTCTTTAATGGCAAAACCTTAGAAATTAACCTTTTCATTTCATTTTTGTTGTTAAAAAATAGAAATAAAAAAAAAATAAGTTTAAATATCCTTTAACAACCAGGTTCCTTACTTGATTTAGTTTAATTTTAAACCATCCAGTGTTTTCTGAAGGTACCAGTTCTCCAACATGACATCATGTCATTGTATACAGAAGCCAAATAAGCCATATCCATTAAAATGCTTAAGAGTTTATATAGTCATGATTAATTCAGTCCAAATAAAAAAAGGACCAGCTGGTCAGATTTATATCCAGGTATGTTCCCGATGTCAGGAGCTTTAATGAAGAGTCCAGATTAGTCTAGTTTAAAACCAGTTCCATCCATTTTTTTAACATAGTTTAATTTTCTCTTAGTTTAACAGACCAGTAGCTTACACTTCAGTTTCACCTCCTTCACACAATCATATTTACCTCACCGTATTGCTAATCTTACAAGTGTCCCATAGCAGTGCTTAGATTTCATTCTTTAAACTCCTCAGTTCCTCTGCAGTAACTTGAATACTTTGAATGATGACATCTTTAACCAGATGGGACATCAGGCAGCGGTTTGACGTCATCACGCAGGATCCAGCTGCCCTGGAATAAAATGTGAGTCAGTAAGCTAATCAATCAGAAACTTCCCTGCAGAGCAACGTGTGGAGACTTTAAATAAGCAACAATGACATCGGTCCTCTATGTTGCCTCTTACAGTCCAGCTACTTTATTTAAGAGTCCATCTCTCACTGGCTCTGGCCACTGCCACTGAAACAGGTCGTTACCATCTTCCTATTTCACTCAACTGAAAAATGTAGTAACAAGTATTGGAAACTGGGGAGTAAGATCTAATTTAAGACTCATAGTGTCACATTCTATTTCAAAATGAACAATAAACTGACGATTAAATCCGAACACTCTGCTCTGAAATAAAGAGGTTTTTCTGCTTGTCCCATTTTTCTCCAGAGTTTCTTGTTCCTTTATAATAACAATGGAAAAATAATCAAGCCCTTCATAAACAAGACAAACATCTTTGCAGTAATCATAAAGTATGCAATTCTTATTAAGCAATTTATCAATTATATCTTTTGGAGTTTTTAAGGGTTTTACGCACAATGTAGTTAACAGACATGGTAATACTACTGAAAGTCAAGATATCCAAAGTCAGTTATGATTTTTTTTTTTATATAAAATAGCTTGCAAAGAGATGTTGAAAATATCCATTGGTTTTACTATGGTGAAATCTAAACATTGTAATTGTGTTCATTAATTTATCTTAACCTTGATGCTATGGAATTTAATCACATCTGATCAGATGGATTTTTTTCTAGTTATTTACATTTTATAGCAGATGATTTAAAATCTGTTAGATCTGAACAATTTAAATCTCAACTGCAGGCATTATTTACACTCAGACATCATTTTAAAATACCCAGCCAATCTGTTATGTCCAAATATAACCTTGCTAATAGTAGCATGAAAATATACTTGTCATTGCTTTGGGTTTTTCTGTAGAGACACAATCAAATAGGAAACATCCAAGCATGTAGTTACATTACATTCTGTCTGTCTGCCTCTGTTTATTTCTGTCTTTTCTCCATGGTGACTGTAAGCACTGGAGCATCCACACTGAATACTTGGTGATTATGTAACACAAGAGGATATTAACAGCAGAATAAGTCAGTGCTGCACAGCATAGGTCAGACTGAATAAAGGGAAACTCTGTTTTAAAATCAAGAGACCTCAAGTGGAACAATGTTCAGTGTTGATAGCCTTCTAGGTGCACAATCGGAACAAAGAAGCACTGATTGCTAAAAACCTTTTATGTTAAAAAAAATTAAGATAGCTGGTGGCTCTGTCCAAGAAAAAAAATGCTTTTGTTAGCCTTAACCCTCTGTTTTTTTGTTGTTGTTCTTTTTTTAATCTGGCTTAGAGCTGCTTCCCTGATTTTGTTTTTTCTATATTTGGGTTTAGGATCCTCTTTTTTTTTTCTTTATTCTTGCACTGGTGGAAGCTTCAATGGCTCCATATAGGGTTGGCCCACAGCTGCACCTCTTGTTTCTGTTTGGCTTGCTCACTTTTTCCACATTTTTTCAATACTATGGGTTTTTGTTGGGTGCAGGTAGGCAATGTCATATTTTTTTTTTCTTCATTTAAAGAAAGTATTTAGAAGAAACATTTGAAAAAATGTAAATGCTTCAATCTATTCTGTATCTGCATTCTCTCTAAAGGTGTTATGACCTTTTGGGACATAACGCACAGCTTAAGTGCTCACACACTTTTTCAGTAAGTTTGGATAAGAATAAGATTGCTTATTTCTATAATGTATTAATTCATCTGGATCAACGTCAGGTTTCTGAATTAAGGGTTTCATTTCAGTTTTCTTAAGAGCCTACTGTAAATTTTCCTGACTTAGGGATAGATTCACGATATCTAAAATGGAGGTGGAAATAAGAGATGGAATGGAATCTAGCATGTAAATTAAAGGATTAGATTAAATTAATGATTTTGAACACTTAAAAACCTGAACTGAATCAAAACAGTCTAAACACAAATGTAATTTTAAAGTTGCCTCCAATCAACTTTCAAAAATCTTATATTTGGAAGGATGCCAGTGGTTTTATTTTTATAGAATCCATTATACATATGAAGAATCCCACTAAGTCATTATTGCTCGGAGCTGGCAGCTCAACAGAGCTTCGGCTCTATTTGTGAGTTTTAAAAGAAACCTAGTATTATTCTTTTTTTTTTTCAATTCTATTTTTATTGTTATTTTCACTTGCCAGCTATCTGTTCATTACAACAGCATTGTGTAGTTAGACACCCACAATTCCACAGGATATACAGATAGGGATGATTGGTTCTTCCTTTATCACACATACACACACAAAAAAAAATTATAAACAGAAAAAATTAACATACAAATATTACGAACATAACTCCTTTGGTTTAGACCAAAAATGCTAGGGTGCACTTCTGTTATACAATGGGGGAAAGTATTATTCTTCTTCTTTATTGATAAAAAGAAATACATTGCTCTTGTTTTACAAAGGGTCCTTTTATACATACTGTTTTGTTTTTTATAAGCAGGGTTCCTTTAAATGTGTAGAGAGAGTGTAGAGTGCCATTTTTGTCTTGTTTCCCAGCATTATGCTTCTGAGTACATGTCTCTAAATTAAACCAGTGAGCTATTTACTGGCGAATAAGTTCCTTCGCTTTTAAGGGGACTATATTATCTAATGGAAGGCACAATGAGAAACATTATCAATGTCAGCAAGATTATCCCATTAGAAATGGAAATACATTAGATCCCTGCCCTCTGGATTTTCTATTTCTGATGCAGTGGACATTAAAAGGAAAATCTATGACATATTGTATTTCATTATCTGGTAGTATTCTGTTAAAGGGGAGAAGTTGGTTAAATTTAATGTGAAGATTACCAAAAAGTGGTCAGATATGACAGCGCATAGACAAAATACTGTTCACAGTATTTACAATTGATGCGATATCTCAGCACAAGGTCCAAAGTGTGGTAATAGAAATGAGTGGGTCTATGCACATTTTAAATGAAGCCAACAGAGCCTAAGATTGCATTTAAGGCTGAATTTAAGTTATCGCTTTCAATGTTAGCATGAACATTGAAAGAAAGAGGGTTTTCTTGTTGACAATTTATACACGCATGGACAAAACTGTTGGAATCCCTTGTTTTTTTCCAAAAAATTAAACAAAATAAAATAAAATAAACAATCCACCGGACTTTATTTCCAAATTTTTAGACACAAGTTTGAAGACAAAAAAAATCATTTAACAGGCCTGGACAAAATAGCCTAATATTTTGTTGCAAAATCTTTTGATTCAATCACTGCTATCAATGAATTCCTGTGACTGTCAATTAGACTTCTGCAACTCTCAGCGGGTATTTTGGCCCATTCCTGATGAGTTGTCTCAGGTTTGAAGGGTGCCTTTTTGTTACTGCTTCTTCTTCAAATCCTCAATAGTATTTAGGTCAGGGCTCATTTGTAGATAGCAACTTACTGTAAGAGTAGTCCTATATTACTTCTTGTCAATATGTAATTTGGCAAATTCCATGATTTGTTTTCATCAATGGTGTCCTCTTTGGTCATCTTCCATTGGTTCGACTTGGGCTTAAATAACAGCAGATGTTGTAAACTGAGACTGATGTTCTTCACCTTTAATCTCTTTAGAAGTTTTTCTGGGCTCTTTTGATACCATTTGTGTTATCCATCTGTTTGATTTGCCATAGATTTTCCACTTGCAGCCACATCCAAGGAGTTTGGCTACAGTTTCATGGATCTTATATTTTTGAATATGTGTAACTCAAGTCACAGGAACATTAAGCTACTTGGAGATGATCTTATAGCCTTTACCTATAAAATTCTTGTCTGTAAATTTCTTTATAATCTCCTAAGATAACCGTTTTCTTCAATTCTTCTGATCCATGTTAAGTGTGGTGCACAACATGTCGTACAATAGCACAGTGATTATCTGTCACCCTATATTTAGGCCCATTGGCTAATTACAAGAATTAAGATACCTGCGATGCTAATTAGTGGATACACCTAGATTTATCATGTCCCTTTGGTCACATTATTCTCAGTCCTTTCAATAATTTTTTTCCAAGCCTGTTTCATTAATTTGTTTTTTAAATCATTCTGTTATAGCATGATTAAAAAGCAACCACAAGGCTTTAATTAGTTTATTTTTGAGTCCATTCTGTTCTTTCTTTGAATAAACGAGGGGTACTAACAGTTTTGTCCATGTGTATACATTTTTTTGTTACAAAAAGTTAACTTACTCTTGTTAAAGTATTTGTTGTTGTTTTAATGTCTTCACAGATGGGAAGAAGAGTACGCAGCCAGGATGGATCTGCAGGAGAGGGTGGCTGAACTTGAGGAGGTACTGAAGTGTCTTACAGTCTCACTGAAGTACTTGTTTTAGGTTTTAGCCTCCTTGAACAAATTTTTGGTTTGGATGAATATTTTTTCCCTTTGATTGATAAAAGGTGCTTCTTGTGTTAAGTCAGGTTACCTTTGTCTGATATGGGTCTGAGACAATGATGTGTGTCGACGTGAAAATTGAAAACATTTTTAAGTGGAGAAGAATGCTTTTTATAGCAACAGGACTCTGAAAGGGATGATTTGATCTTTATATCTTTAGGGAAATAAGAAAATAAGTAACACGAATCACTGTTGGCTTTTGTCCTACCAATGTGAGCAATTTTGATCCCATAAAGTAATGCTTTATGCAGTATTTGGTATAGCATTTTGATTTAATGGAAATATATTCATCCAAGTAAGGCCAATAATACACCTGCAAACATTGCATTTGTGCAAAATCCTACACATTGGTATATGGATGAGTAAAATATTCTTTACTACTAAACATTCTTCAGATAAATATTGTTCGCATTATAACAAACTAAAAGTGAATTGTAATTACAACATCTCAGTGGTGAAGTGGGAGGCCATGTAAAAATGACAGCCAACTTTCTCTAGAATTAATAGTTAAAGATTTCAAAGATTCATTTCATGTGGCCAGGGTGGTTAAAGATAGAAATGGGTAACTGTTAAACATCAAAAGTCCATTTTGAAATATTTGTTAAATATTTATTTTGTTGTTTTATTGCCAAATAATTTAAAGTTAATTATGTTGTAAATTGCTTTTATCTTCTCCAGTTCTGCTTTAGCATTGATACCAGTTGGAATCCCTAAGAATTATCACAACTATAAACACATAAATCCACATAATATCTCTGTATGTATCGTATCGCTTTAGAGCAGATGGTAAGGAGTCTGTTCACTTAATGCAACATCTGAAAAAACATGTTTTACAGGACCTGCAGGAGAGTGAAGTGTGCCAAGATGAGCTGGCTCTCAGGGTGAAGCAGCTCAAAGCAGAGCTGGTTCTTTTCAAAGGACTCGTTAGCAACGTAAGTCTGTTCTACGGTGTGGATATGAAATATTAGAGATGGTAGAAAATAAATGTAAATGGAAAGATGCATAATTTCATTGATATGATTTTAGGAATTCTTAAATTTGTGTTATTTTTTACTTATACGATCCTGCATTGGATTAACAGCTCACTTAATTGTTTCACATGAACTAAATCTTTCTTTGTTCAGGACTTGTCTGATTTGGAAAGTAAGATCCAGGAGAAGGCTATGAAGGTGGACATGGATATCTGCCGACGCATTGACATCACAGCTCGTTTGTGTGATGTCGCCCAGCAGAGGAACTGCGAGGATGTCATTCCCATTTTCCAGGTACATCTTTGTTAGAAACTGTTCCATAAAAACGCTAATCGTGGAGTTTAATTTATCTGCATCAACCATCAGGTACCCACTCCTCCATCCGCTTCCAGCCGCCGCACCAGGAAGCCCAGCGGGCAGTCGCAGAAGAGTGCGGATGGAGACGAACTGAGCGTGTCAGAGAGCGAAGGAGGCGGGGCCAGAGATGAGGAGTCCAGCAGCACGTCGGCCAGTCTGATAAACGAGCAGATGCAGAGGATGCTGAATCATCTGTCAGTACTGGTTGAGATCTTCTGACGTAGCAATGTTAGATCAAAGCCTATCTGACATTTCTGCATCTGTTGTGAAGGAGGGAGTGTGAGTTTGAAGATGACTGTGACAGTCTGGCCTGGGAGGAGACTGATGAAACTCTTCTACTCTGGGAAGATTTTCCTGGATGCACACTGGGAGTTGAAACACAGGGAGAGGTAAAAACACAATTATTTTCCTTGTCTATTGAGTAACTATGAAAAATTAATCAGCGGTTAGAAAATGGGTCAAATTTTTGCAGATTCAGAACTTTCGTCAAATGCAATATTGAAACTTTGCTTTAAAAATCAATTTATAGCTGCAACAAATGAGTAAATATGCATAAAACTGTAAAAATGCACTTCCAACAGCAGGATAAATAGTAGTTATTCTCCATTGCTTTTCAGTTTTTTAAAGCTCCTTATCATATTCTGTTTGTGTTTATTAGTTCCACATTATGCTAAACAGGTCACAATGTAGCTTTTTTGGCTAATTCCAACATTTCCTTTGAGAATCAACAAAGCAGCACAGCTAAGCAACACTATCAGTACCACAGACTGATGGTTTAAGGCAGGACTGTCCAAAGGGGGCCATTTTGGCCCTAGAAATGGTTTCTGGCCCCTGACAACAATTTAAGAGGGAACCGCTCTATATAGGCAGTGAATTCAGATGGAAGATTTCTTAATTTATTTATTATTCACCTACTTAGCTTCACCCAGTTTTCATCTGTCCTCATCTAATCCACCTGTTCAAGCTCCTATTTATGCTGCTTGCTTCCAGCCATCAGTGCCAGATTATTCCTGCTGTGTGTGAGAAAACTCTAGCGTTCCTCTGTGTTTCTGATTACCTGATCCTGACAAGTTTCTGCGTTTGGACGAGTTTTGTTTTGGCCCTGTTCTGCTCTGTTTTTCGAACTGTTTCCTGGATTCTGCCTACAAACCACCTTGGATCTGTCTACTGACCCCGGCGTGGATTCTCTTTTGGTACCTCTTCGGCTCTCTGATCTTCTGGCAATCTGCTCCTGCTATGACTCTGGTTTTGGATTCTTCATACGCATACTTTTGCTCTTCCACTTCTTCTGGCTTCTGGTCATCAGTCTGCTCGCACTCTCTCCTGGAACTCTGGGAGCGGTGCCTGCTGCATGCTGTGGAGAAACAATCCTCCTGGATTCTACTCCTTCCTCTGGGCTCAGACTGAACTCTTAACCAGAGTTTCCTGCGATCCTTCCCCAGCTGTTGAGCCACTTTTAATTGAGCAGAAAATAAACGCTTACCTGAGAATTCACCCTGATCTCTCTGCTTGTCTTCTGGGTCCAACGTTTTGAGACTTCTGACAGTTAAACACAGAATATCTATTATTATCTCCATTTTTTTTTGTTTTTCGTTTGTTTTCCTTTAATTTAATAATAAATAGGACCACAAACATCCCAAAGATGTTGCTGAGAAGATACAAAGAAATGTTTGGACAAGGAAAATAGAAAAAGAAATGCAAAATTTTTGATGCATCTGCATTTTAATAAAGCATACAAGATTTACATTGATCAACAGATCCTTTTCTCTAAAACTAAAAGGAGATCCAGCTTCTTTTTCCATTGAAAAATTACTAACAGTTAAAAATGAAACTTCACAAATATTAATTTAAAACAAAATTGAAATGTTGTGACCAAAAGTTTGGATTGACAGTTTCATTAGCTCCTAAATGAGACATACCAATTGAACAGATTAAAGACGGTTATCTTATCGATTCCTGGTTTCTATAGAGAATTTATTGTGTGACTAATTATCAGCTTTAAGTTATTTTGTTAAATACTATTCTGAATGAAATTGTTGTGTAGAAATCTGCTATAAGGCCATTTGTTTGTGTTTTCTTCCAGCAGGACGAATCTATTGAGAAAGTTATTAAAGACACAGAGTCCATGTTTAAATCCAGAGACAAAGAATACCAGGAAACCATCGACCAGATAGAGGTGAGACATTCAGGTTAGAACAGAAGCTGAAGTGGTTTTACTCTGCTTGTGGATTTAATATGTTGGGTCGGGGGCGGGGTCTCTTTCAGCTGGAACTGGCCACTGCCAAGAGCGACATGAACCGCCACCTGCATGAATACATGGAGATGTGCTCCATGAAGAGAGGGCTGGATGTTCAGATGGAGACCTGCAGGAGGCTCATCACGCAGAGCGGAGACAGGTAAACCACAGGAAGTCAGTCTAACCTGCTAGGAACTAAAAACATGTTAATGCAATAAATATAGGGCAAAATCCTGCGTCACGCTTAAGTATTACCTTAAGTTATATGTGCAACATTTCTGCAGATTTCAATCAAAATGCAAAGTTTTGATACACCTCTTAAACACTTAGAGAACTTCTATTAAAAAGTGGGATGACCCAGGAGATTTAGTAGCTTTTAATGTTTTCTATAAACCAGATAGTTCAGTTTGAATTCAACACTGTATCCATCTGGGAAGACTCCTGCAGAAAGGGAGAAACATTCAGTACAATTCTTCAAGCTGATTGGCAGAATCAGTGGCACATGCCTCCACGTTGAGCTTTAAGTCAATCACAGCAGGAGGAGCAGCTGTGATGTATCACATTCTTAATTTCTTCCAGAACTAGAAAAGTTTACTGATAAATCAGACTATTCACAAATATGGTTGGGAGGAACACTCAAACGTTGAAAACTGGGTTTGCAACGTCTTTTCAACGTCTATTATTGGACTAAAGCGAGACAAAATCAGACCAACCAAACACATCCTTGTTTTCAACAACTATTTCTGGACTAAATCAGGCCTCGACGGACCAACCAGATTTAACCTAATAACCAACGCTTTAATGATGTATGGTGTTTGGGGGGGTAGTGATCTCTTCAGAATCTCTAGAATTTCACAAAGCAAGGCTGTAATCCTCTAAAGCTTCTGAAAATATCAGTGCTTTTTACTCTTATCCAGCCATCAGCAACAAACCAAGCTTATTGCTGAGGATGGAAAACTGAATGTTAGATTCTATGTAAACACAGATTATAGGAGCACGGTGGTGGTGGTGCACAACCAATGAGGGTTAAGGTCCTACACTCGGCTTTTGCAGGTTCGGGTCCCACCCTGGTGACCTTTGCCACTTTTGTTCCCCATCTCTTACTTACTCTCTGCCTACTTTTAATAACAAAAATAACACATAGATGTATATAAGTGAAAACAGGCGCAAGATGAAAAGTTTACACTGAAAGAAGTTCCGATTTTTTTTTTCTTTTGGAGTTTCAGTTCATTAGTCTTATTAATGTTTGATCAGCTGAACAATGACGTTTTACTTCTTTCAATGACTTGGGGAAATATTCACATCCATTGAACTTTTCCACTGCTTGTCACAATACACCTCAAACTTGAAATGATCGTATTGGTATTTTACATAATGGACCAACACAAAGTATCCCATAATTTGATGCTATACAATACCTTGTAGAGCCTTTATTCAAACCCTTCAGTCAGTTATGATATGGAGTACATCTCCACTAGATGTTTACATCTCAAGATCAGATATATGCTGAACTAGAATCATTCAAACGTGCAAATGCAAAAGATTATTTCCCAAAGCTGTTTGTTTTTTTTAGGCCTGTTATCCTGCTGGAAGGTGAACTTCTGCTCCAGTCTGAAGATTTTTTTATAACCTTTAAGAGGTTTTCTTCTAGGATTGCTGTGTATTTATCTTCATCCATCTTTACTTTTACTACAGGAAAAGCATAATGCTGCCTATTGTAATGTAATGATGTGATTGGTTAGGTGATGTCATGGTCTTACCCCTTTGTTAGAAAAAAAGAAAGGCTTCTTGCTATGTCTAATACTAACTTCTGAGCTCAAGTTTTTTTCTCTTGTGTGAAAACACAAAGTGTTATATATTAATTCAGTGTCAATTACTGATAAACCTGGTTTAAAGCGTAGGGAGCCTATGAACAATATTGTCTCTATTTCTATCTAGTTAAATGTAAAACTTTGGTCTTCTGTGTTTCATCGCAGGAAATCTCCCTCTCTCATCATACCCACAGCGGATGACTCTGAAAAGGAGGAGCAGAAGAAAAATCCGACCCAATCTGCTAACTCTGAGGGCAGTAATTCCTTCTGTAACATTAATGCTGGCCTCCCACCCATGAACTGGAGAAAACCCTGACATTCAGCCCCGCTCTGCGTGTTCTTCCTCTTGTTCTTCAGAGCAACGGAATATAAAAACATCTAATTTCTGTTGACCTTAAAGATGATTTTCTAAAATAAAACAATGTTTGGCATATTTGGCATTTCTGAAAGCAGCCAACATATGTCTGCTCTTTTGACCACACAGGCAGAAAAATCAGCTAAAACAGAAACTTATAAATAAAATTCTTTTTTTTTTAAGCAAAAGGTAAATGTTTTCTAGTATCCAGAAGCACCATTTAGTCACAGCCATTGTCGCTGGGGTACATGAAAAAAAAAAAAAAGAAAGACACCATCTAATCTGCAAATTGCTGCCCTCGTGTGGTGACTTTCCGTAATTACATTTAAAAGTCAAAAGTGCTACATCTAAAAAAAAAACTTGCATTAGCTCTGCAAGATGGGTGAAACAGGACAACAAGACAGAGAAGAATATAGTTTGCACAAGTTACATCTGGAAAAAATACACATATTTTAGTTTGTTAGCTTTGTAGGATAAAGAATGTGTCTTATTTTGCACTATAGTGTTGGAGGCTGTTATTTGCACAATCAACAAAAAAAAAAAGCTTTTCAGCAAAGTATTAAATAGAAGGGCAATAAAGGCAAGAAGAGTTGCACATGTAACTTCAAAGAAATAAATCTGTTGTCATAAGTTTTATTTTTTTATTCTATTTTTATCAATTATTGTTAGATTAATAAACGGTTCCAGGTCTGATTTCTGGAAAAGTAATCTACATCCATTAAAACTTTTAAAATGCCATTTGTTTCACTATAATAAGTATAAATTTGCACAACTGTGTGTTTAAAAAATTACCTTAATAATTGCCTGATTTAAATAAACAACCTTGATTGAAACGACATATTTAAGTCGTGTTTAAGTTAAGCTTAAACACAACTTTACTCTGAGTACATTTAATTTTTTTGAGGTTTGGTTTATTAATGTAGGCAATTTTCCTGTATTGAACTATGTTGAATTCTTCAAAATAAGTTCAGTCTCTGAATTTTAAATGAAACAAAACTATTAGTGTATAAAAAAGTAACTATTTAATTTCTGGATTAAAACAAAATATCTAATATAATTTTTAATTTTACTAAACGTTTCTTGCAGGTAGAGGCTGATTTCTTTTGTTTTGTGACAACTTCTTTTTTTATTAAGTTTTCTTTTAATGTAATGTTTTTTATTTAACAGTTAAGGGCGAAATGGTTTTAGAAAATAAAATAAAAATCTATAGCTCAGTGGCTTATCAGTTGTTTTTGTGATTTAACTGAAAATATGCACAATTTCAAAAAAATAATCACCAACATTTATGCTTGACCAGGGTTGATGGTCTAAACTGGAAGTAAAGCGACGCCACAGACCTGCTGTGAGGTTTGTTTGATCTGTCAATAGGCTATTTTTGTAATTGCAGCACTGTGTGCAATGCTGACCTGTTAATGCTGCTAGCTTTGTGTCTGATGATGTAAATGTTGCTGAAATTTATTTTAGTTTTACTTTGTGTGGAGTCAAAGACTCCAATTCTTTTGTTTTCTGTTATTCAATTATTTTGTTTCTAACAATAAAGCTGGAGTCAAGATTGGTTCATTTTAGTAAGAATAGATTCCTAGAAGTGATCAAAGTTTTATCTGTAATTTATATATAAGCAGATTTTTGTTTATTTACTTGTTTGCTGTTGTTTTTTTTATTCTATAGTCAAGGTACTCAGATGTTTTATTTAATTTTATCCTCTTCACTTAAACCAGAATAGTTTTTTTAAAGATCTTTTTTTTAGACTTGAATGTAGCAAAATTGTCAAATTTCTTTCATAAATCTGCAGGTCCCTTTATTTCATGATGAGGCATGGACTGCAAAGCTGCAAGTTTTACAAAGTGAATCATTAGTAAGTCAAAGAAAAGATAAAAAAAACGTGTTTCAGATTAAATGCTGATAATCTGAAGATGAATTTCTGCTGCAAGTTTAATCTGAACAGAGAGCTAAAAGCATGTGAGGAAAAGGTTGAGAAGCGAGAGGAAGTTTGAGTTGAAAAAGAATGCTGGTGTCGGTTGGGGGGGGGTTATGTTATTTTTAATGATTTTCTGTATTTTTTTAGTTTGATCATAACAAGATTGAATGAATTGGTAAAAAAATGTGTCCTTGTTTGCTGTGACAGAATCTGTTCACCGTAGAAATAAAGATTTTACCTGGTACCTACCCGCAATCAGATCATCTTTATTTCTACCAACACATCAGAATCCTGATAAACTTATGACTAAATTTTAACATGTGGCTTTGATGCATTTATTCTGCCTGTTAGGTTTAGGGGATTGAGGCCTTTTAGTTTCCCATTGATAGTTGGAACAGTTTAATATGCCATCTGTGATGCATCACTGCTCAGTTGGAGAAAACATTGGCTAGGTCCATGTCACTTCTGCCTATCGTCTTTCTTCACATCTGCGCTCTAAATTAGCTTGTTGTCCATAAAAGTGTAAAAGTGGTTTGAACCAGATCAACTCCTGCCAGAAAAGCCTGTATAGACCTGAAAACCCGTTTATTTCACTGATAGTGTTTCTGTTGTTATGCCAGAGTTACACACTGGCTCTCCAAATCAGCCCGTTTGGTGCAACTCTGATTATTCAGGGACTCTTCTGTCTAATTTTTTATCCAAACGGTTTCTAGGGAAACAGTAATAAAGTTCAATTCAATTCAGTTTATTTATTTATTTTTTTTATGTCCTTTTAAATCAGTTTTATGGATCTATAGAGCTTATATCATTAGAATTCAGTTAAAGGAGGGAATAATGGTAGTATGGGCTGCTGTTTGGATTTATCCAAACTTTCTTCTTATAATTTATCCAGTATATGATGTTGATAGTTGTGGCAAGGAGGGAGGCATGCTTTGGAAACCTCAGGACCTGATCTTCTGTTTCTGCAGATAATACAGTTCTGTTGGGTTGACAGCCAAAGGTCACCTGGGTAAGTATGGAAGAAGCTCTTCCATATCGGTGGCCATGATTCTCTGAGGATTTTATATATATATATATATATATATATATATATATATATATATATATATATATATATATATATATATATATATATATATATTTAATGTGTATTTTAAGGTGAGACTTTTTTTCAAGAAAAGAACTCCATTAGTTTTGTTTTTCTGGAGAGATGCTAGGAGGGAGTGTGAACAAAAGACAGGTTTGAGCTTCTGCAGACGTGGTGCAGCCTTTACTTCAGTCGATTGTGGTGAAAAAAGAGCTGAACTAAAATGTAAATATCCAAACTCCTTCAGAGCTCCCTTCTCTCCAATTTAAGATCACTGATTATCAGGAAGCAGATGCCAAGGTCAGACCAAGAAATGAGGGAAATTGACCCTCAGTGGCCTGAAAATGCCACACATTGAGCTGAAGAAATATACACTTCTCAAAAAAATTAAAGGAAAACCTAAACAATACTTCTAATTAAATCAAACTTCTGTGAAATGAAACTGTCCATTTTGTGAGAAACTTGTACATTCCCAGCAATTTAATGATGCATCCATGGTCTATAGAGGCCTAAGAGTCACAGAAGAATCTCCAATAAATTAAAGGGAGACTTCTCAGATACCAGTATTTCTCACAGAGACATTGTGAGAATAATTGAGAATTACTTTCTAACTTCTTGCAGGCATAACAACATTTTTCATCCGCTATCTATCAAAATATGATGTATTGTCACTATTAACAGTTCATTAAAAACAACAAACACTAACATATCCCACTAGGAGCACTGATTTAGCATCAGATCCATCTTTTTGCTCCTATACTGATTTAACTGGAATTGCTTCCTTTTCACACAGTCTAATTTGCTGAACAAAATGCTGGAGGTCAGGAGCTGCAAACCAACAACTTCACAGCAGATCAATAAGAGAAGAAAGAGCTGCTGCTGCTGCTGCTGCTGTGTCAACACATCACGCAGCGAGCCGAGCGGAACGTGGAGCCATGTTTGATGGGCTTACCTCAACCAGCACTGCTGGGCGCTTTCCACAGCCATCACTCATTTAGATGTTTAGACGCCAGGTCTGTTCAGGTGAATAGTTCACACCTCAGGTCTGATTTTTTCACTAGAAGGCATTCACCTTTCTCCAGGTCGCCGGCTGTCGTCGCTGCAGAACCACAGATCTTCCTTCTCAACACAACTTCTGAGAAGCATCAGGCTCTACTACTTTCATCCTAAAAAAGTTTTTTTCTGTGCTTTAAATGTGCTGCAGTTTATTAAGCCTTATGTTGCTGTTTTATCAAGGAGTTCTTATAATAACATACTGAGTGGGAATTAAAATTATCATTTTTTATGTTAAACTGTGAATGCAATTATAATTTAATTCATTTATATGATTAAATTACTTTAGTTTTTGCTCTCTATAGTGTTATTTTGTCTAAAGTACCATTTTTTTTTTGTTTCTATCAGTGCTAGGAATGTGGTTTAGGGAATAAAAGATTCCACCTTTTTCTCTTTGAAAATATGATGTTGACTACTTCTGATTTTAAGCATTTCTGGCTGTGATTGTCTGATACCTTCCTCCTTCCCTGAAAGAGCAGACTGCCAAGAATGAATCAAATTTTCTTGATAAGGCAGCAAATACCTGCTTCACCTGTTTGTAAGAGTTAAAAAATTGAAATGAGAAGCTCAAAATCTGACTTTTTTTTCTAAGCTTTTTATAGTGATGTAAAGACTTTGATGACATAAATGATTTTATTATAACCTGATCACCAAAATGAAAAACAAATTTATATCAAAAACATTAATGAGGACACAAACAACTCCAAGCAAAAACTTTTCTCTAATTGGGGCTTGCAGGTGTATCTTGATGTTTTATGTCTGTCTGCTCCTCACTGGTCGGTCAAATCCAACTAAAGCTAAATATATAAACACAGCAAGTTTACTGGTTTATTGAAATGTCATTTCTCTTCAGATATTTTATGAAATTACATTGTGTTATTTTTATTGCTTCATAATATAAAGAAAAACCTTTTTCTACTTAAATTCCATTTGAATGAGTTGCATTTCAGCTTAATTATCATGACCTATGATTGTATTCTAATTTGGGTTCCTGATTTGATAACTGGGATTGTTTATCTTTTTTTTTTTATAAAAAATGTATCCTGAAAAAAGGCTTTCTTGTCTTTCCTAACTTCCAACACCAAACAATTGAAATCTTGTTAAAAAATTGAGCTTCTGAACCGACATAGCTCTCTTGTTTCTGACTAAAAAGAAAGTATAACTTTTAAAAAAATAATACTTGATAAGCAGCAGAGGTCGATGCTGAGAATTAGTATATTTTTTATTCTAAATATAAACTTTTTATTTTCATTTCATAAAAAAAAATACAACAGACAGCTAAAGCCTGTCATTTAGCCAGTCATTGAAGACTTACTTACTATTTAAAATAAAAAAAAATCAGTGTCAGCCTTAGTATTTATTCATTACACTTAAACATTATGGATCATATCAGGTTCGGTTTAACCTGAGAAACATTTCAACTTTATTTTAGTGATATAACTATAATCACACTTTTGTTTTATGCTTTAAAAACCTCTTTTAAAAAATGAGTATTTTAATATTAGGCTGCAATTGTCAATAATGTTTTCATGCGACCTCTAGTGGTTAGAAGAGTAAATACAGGCTCCAGAATTGAGCGTTTTTTGTTTGTTTGTTTGTTTGTTTGTTTTTCCCTACAATAATGAATTTTTAACCAAATATTTTTTTACTTTTTCACTGAAATCAATCAATGAATGAAATATTAACTTCATAGAAACTGAATAGCAGGAATATATTGAACATAAACTGTTCCTGTATTCTAACGGGGACACTGTGTGCGTCTATTTGTGTGCACGCGCTTTTAGGGGCGGGGCTTCTGGGTGACATCCTGATTTTAGTTTCTTTTATTTGCGCTCTTCTTCCTTCTGGATCAAAAGAAAAGGTGAAATAAGACATCAGCGCGGAAAAATAACGGAACTGATCCACCTTTTTTAAAATTAGACAGAAGTGGGCTCATCCTCTCTGAGCTCTCCTCATCCTCACCCTTCCTCACCCTCTGCCTCTCAGATAATCCTCATCGTCCTGCCACTGAAATGTGAGTTTGCTGATGTTTTATTCTTTTATGTTTAAATTTAAACCTGTAATATTTATGTCTATCCAACTTCTATTAAAAGAAAGAATTGATTTAGTTTATATTGCTTTAGTAAATCCAGCCAATGTATAAACTGGGGGTTAAAAATCTAAATTTTCTCTTAATTAACTTAGTTTTGGTGATTTCCTTTTTTTCTAAACTAATTTCCAGGCATCTGGAAATTTCTGGGCTGCAGCACTTTGTCCCTGCAGGAGTCGGACTGTGACTCACCGGCTGACTCACCTAAAAAAACTATTCATCAGCTGTGATCAGGAAAAGCTCCAGAATGCTGCAAAACTCTGCTGCCTTTAAATAAAACAATTAAGGGCTTAGATACAACTTCAAAAGAAGCAAAACATCAGATCTAGAAATAATAACTTTTCTGTAAAATAATAAAAGAATAAAACAAAAAAATCTATTGTTAAGCTGAATGTCAGACTCCTTTGGGGGAGGGGATGACAGTTTTAATTCCTGCATGTAGATCTCCATCAGAGAGGCTGCTGCTGCTGCTGCATTAATCTTTCTCCATTTTGCCTTTGAAAAACAAGCCTGACTGTTAGTGCATGGCAGCAACTGCTGCTCAGTGGCATTCTGCTCTGTTCTTTCTCTCCGAAAGTTTAAAAACCTTCCCACTAACATAATTTATCCTGAATATGAATCTACTTTGCTTCTATTGATTATGTCAACAAAAAACCCAAATGAATCAACCACGTTTTTATAGAACTCGATTTTTGATGAATAATTTTTGCTTCTGATAAATTGTTGATTTATTACTATATTAATTCTAAATCATTTTTAAGAAAGTCCTTAATTTAACACTTTACTTACAAAGAATCAGATTTATTTAATTAATCATACATATTTTTCTTGTTTTAAACAATCCATCAAAATAAAAACATGTTAATAATACTTTTTTGGACTTTTGGGAAAAAAAATGTCCTCATAGTAATCAATCAATTCATAGATCTAATGTCTATGAATAACATGTTGCAGGTGAGGAATTTATGCATAAAAGAAGCTGATTCCTTTTTTCCCCAAATCTATGATTTATTTGATCAAACTATAGGAAACAAAAAGGGATTTTCTCCAATCAGATAAGTTGATGAATGATAAATTGTTTGTATGGTAATCGAATAAACATGGCTCATAATGAACTAGCTAAAACTACCAATGATTGAAAATGAATTGACTAGAGGCTCCTACATTTGAATCCTTTAATATCAGTTTGGCTGTTTCTCTCTGTGATGCATCAGATATTTCCAGATGCTATCAATGCTCCAAAAAGCATGCCAGTTAGTTTAATTGGTCCCTTTGAAATGTTTTATTATGAGTGTGCCCAATTGTTTTTTCATATGTGTCTGTTTGGGATCATGTGATGATTTTGTAACTCGGCGTGCCCCAGTCCAGGGCGTGCCCCAGTCTAGGGCGTGCCCCAGTCCAGGGCGTGCCCCGGTCCAGGGCGTGCCCCAGTGTAATGTATGCACCACTTGTTACCCACTACCTGCTGGAGAGGCATCGGCCCCCTTTGTGCATACACCCGACTCCCAGTCCCACCATCACTACCCACACTAGTGGGTCACAAATGGATGAAAATTAATTAAATTGAGGTCCTTAGTTTAGAGACCAGAAGAATTGAAAATATTTTTTGTTATGTGCAGATGGACGTGTCCAATTAGGCTCGAGTGGAGGGAGAGTGTGAAGTCTTGTTTTCCATTTTCAAAGTGACTGTATCTTACTGCATTTTTTTAATATAATATTGGACGTTAAAATAATCAGCATATCATTTTAATAAACAATCAATTTACATGGTTTGCAGAGCTATAGTGTCATGATGGGTCTCTAGAGTTTAAACCCACATGCAGAACACCACAGGAAACGGAGTAAAAGTTTAACAGTTTATTAAATGAGAAGCACACAAGAATAATTATGAGCAGGTTCTGGTACTGGTCCGGGACTGGAATCACTGAGTATCTGCAGAAATGGATAGTTTGGTTAGCCAGGCTACGGTGATGACTTGTCAGGTGTTTGATTCTGATTAGTACCTTGATGAGGTTCAGACTGATCGATGGAGAGAGGGAACCGGTTGGGTCCAGAGACTGTGGATACAGCAGAGAGCTCAGCAGCAGCAGCGTCTAGCTTCAGGCTAATGAGGTTCAGACCTTGAGTTGATTTCCTAGCTCTCCCATGAGAGCTGGTTGGAGAATCCAGACTGATTGTCTTCAGGTTTGGCTTCCTAGGGCAGGCAGGCAGGTTTCCAAGCAAAGCTCCTCCAGAGCTACAGACTTCAGTCGGGCTTTCCTGTGAGCAGAGAAGACAGAGGCTGGTTAGAATCAGGTTACTCTCCAGAGCAGACAGAGATTCTATGTGCAGGCTGAGGATCATGTTCTGCTAACCAAAACTGGTCAACACTCCGGCAAAGAAGACAGGTCTGGCTGCTGCTTATGTAGGAGGTCCCCTGATGGGCTGATGATTCTCAGGTGTGCTGGAGGCTCCAGCCCAGGAGACCCACAGCGCTCTCTGCTGGAGACAGGTGGCAGATCTCCAGATCCCAACAGTAACCCAAATTCCAACAGAAAAACATACAACAGGAGGGGATCCTCGGCGCCCTCTGGAGGGCAAGCCTCTGGATCCCAACATATAGAATAAACAAGATTATGGTTGGATGATTAATAAAAGAGACTCCAAAACATTTCGCCCAGTTCAGTGAATCTTGTTTTCAAAAACCAATTGAAGTAGATTTGTTTCTTGTTATAAATTATTTTAATATGCAATTAATATCACTTTCAGTTGAGGAAAAACAGGGTTGGGGTTCTATAATGTTTCCTCACACCGTTATACCTTTTATTTGACTCATTTAATCAACACCAAACTAAGATTATGATTTATCTGCTTGATGAAACAGTCAAACTTATGACATTATTACTACATAGTTACATTGTTAACTCATTGAACGCTATCCACTCCACTTCATACATGCTTTATTAGTTGAGCTGTGTTTGAATATAACTGCTGACTGCCGTTATGATGTACAGACATACGTCTGTTCAAAGGGCACTTGTTTGTTCGAAGAGATCATCGAAAAAAAAACTTTTCAGGATCCATATTCCTTAAATGGCTTATTTAAGAAAACGCTTCTCTGATCACTTTTTCACGGCAGGTCAACTCCAGATGCAGCAGGTACTCCGGGAGCCCCTGGGGGCCCAGAAGGAGAGGGAGGCCCTCCAGCTCCTGCCCCCAACCTAACGAGCAACAGGCGACTTCAGCAGACTCAGGCGCAGGTGGATGAGGTGAGGAAACGAGTGTGAGCCAAAACACTTTTGATGAATATGTCAGTGTTCTCTTTTTGCTTATAACAACAACCCAGATAGTCTATTTTAAAAACACTGATTAAATCCATATTAATGGCAAAACTGGAATTCAGAGGATTAAAAAAAATCGAAGTGCGTGTTGTATTTACTTGTTTTTTTCTGTGGAAATATGCTCGGTTTTAACTAATTGGTGTTTTCATCCCTCAGGTGGTGGATATAATGCGTGTGAATGTGGACAAAGTCTTAGAGAGGGACCAGAAGCTGTCAGAACTAGACGATCGGGCCGACGCCCTGCAGGCTGGAGCCTCTCAGTTTGAGAGCAGCGCCGCCAAACTCAAGAACAAGTACTGGTGGAAAAACTGCAAGGTGAGAAGAATTCAAAGAGCTCCTCTAATCCATAGCAGCGTCCCGAACCAGAGTTATTAGGATTCGGGGTTCATTTAGGTCCCACAGAACAAGAAATATCAAATTAGAATTAATTATCTAAAACTCTAAGTAAATCTTGAGGTTTCCTTCTTTTATAAGGGAGTTTTTCCTCTCCACTGTCGCTACAAGCATGCTTGGTGTGAGGGATTGTCTCTGTAAAGTGCCTTGAGATGACACGTTGTGAATTGGCGCTATACAAATAAACTGAATTGAATGGAATTGAAGTATACGTACACTATATTGCCAAAAGTATTTGCTCACCCATCCAAATTATTGGAATCAGGTGTTCCAATCACTTCCATGGCCACAGGTGTATAAATTCAAGCACCTAGGCATGCAGACTGTTTTTACAAACATTTGTGAAAGAATGGGTCGCTCTCAGGAGCTCAGTGAATTCCAGCGTGGAACTGTGATAGGATGCCACCTGTGCAACAAATCCAGTCGTGAAATTTCCTCGCTCCTAAATATTCCACAGTCAACTGTCAGCTGTATTATAAGAAAATGGAAGTGTTTGGGAACGACAGCAACTCAGCCACGAAGTGGTAGGCCACGTAAACTGACGGTGCGGGGTCAGCGGATGCTGACGCGCATAGTGCGAAGAGGTCGCCAACTTTCTGCAGAGTCAATCACTACAGACCTCCAAACTTCATGTGGCCTTCAGATTAGCTCAAGAACAGTGCGCAGAGAGCTTCATGGAATGGGTTTCCATGGTCGAGCAGCTGCATCCAAGCCATACATCACCAAGTGCAATGCAAAGCGTCGGATGCGGTGGTGTAAAGCACGCCGCCACTGGACTCTAGAGCAGTGGAGACGCGTTCTCTGGAGTGACGAATCGCGCTTCTCCATCTGGCAATCTGATGGACGGGTCTGGGTTTGGCGGTTGCCAGGAGAACGGTACTTGTCTGACTGCATTGTGCCAAGTGTAAAGTTTGGTGGAGGGGGGATTATGGTGTGAGGTTGTTTTTCAGGAGCTGGGCTTGGCCCCTTAGTTCCAGTGAAAGGAACTCTGAATGCTTCAGCATACCAAGACATTTTGGACAATTCCATGCTCCCAACTTTGTGGGAACAGTTTGGAGCTGGCCCCTTCCTCTTCCAACATGACTGTGCACCAGTGCACAAAGCAAGGTCCATAAAGACATGGATGACAGAGTCTGGTGTGGATGAACTTGACTGGCCTGCACAGAGTCCTGACCTCAACCCGATAGAACACCTTTGGGATGAATTAGAGCGGAGACTGAGAGCCAGGCCTTCTCGTCCAACATCAGTGTGCGACCTCACAAATGCGCTTCTGGAAGAATGGTCAAAAATTCCCATAAACACACTCCTAAACCTTGTGGACAGCCTTCCCAGAAGAGTTGAAGCTGTTCTAGCTGCAAAGGGTGGACCGACGTCATATTGAACCCTATGGATTAGGAACGGGATGTCACTTAAGCTCATATGTGAGTCAAGGCAGGTGAGCAAATACTTTTGGCAATATAGTGTATGTAGAAAAAGTCTACGATTTTAAACAACTGTAACGAGGACTGATTGACCATCTTTGGTTAAAGGTGTCATAATCTGGTATTTTACCATCTTTCCAGAATTGCCTTTAAAGTAATGTTTAATCAATTTTCCAAGAACAAAATTTAAATAGAAGTCAATTGGACCCCTTTCATACCATTTTTCTCTCCTGAGGGTACGCAAAAGAATTTGTTTGCAGGTTCATGTAGATGTAGCATTAGCAACATTAGCAGTTACCAGGGGTGTAAATAATAATCTTTTTGTATCGATGCATCGACCCAACAGCCGATGATCCGATGCATCGACACGTCTGCAAGAGTATTGATTCATGTTTTTTTTTTCCTCTGCTCTATTTTTATCTATTTGCTCCTTGACGTAATTCTGACTCCCGTGCTGCGGTGGCACTAAACCTATTTTGCCCTCCTACCTCGCTTCCTTTAGCCACTACCCTCTTTCCACTTGCAGTATTTTTTGATGCAAGACCTTTTAGAATCTATAACACAGAGGCATTATCATTATTCAGTGAAGTGGGTGGAGTAAAACTTTGCTACTTATGTTTTTTGTTGCTGTTTCTCAAATTAAATCCATAACGATATTACAGCTTTCATTGATTTATTTTTCAAATTTTAAACATTCGAAATTTTCCAGAACAGCCTGTAAGGTAAAAAAAAAAGAAATCAACCATATTGTGGTGTATTCTTGAGTATCGTAAATAATCGAATCGTTGGGTCAGGATATTGATACTGAATCAAATCGCCATGATGGGTCTGATATATATCCCCCTAGCAGTTACCCACCCTCCATCCATCCATTTTCTGACACGCTTGTCCCAGTTGGGGTTGCGAGGTGCTGGTGCCTATCTCCAGCTGTCTACAGGCAAGACGCAGGGTACACCCTGGACAGGTCGCCTGTCCATCACAGGGAAACACAGAGACAAACACAACAAACAACCATTCACGCACACACTCACAACTAAGGAGAATCTAGTGAAGCAAATTAACCCTGGAATCGAACCCAGAACCTTCTTGCTGCAAGGCAGCAGTGCCAACCACTGCGACACTGAGCAACCCCCAGTTACCCACCTTTCCTTTACCATTGTTTTCTAGTCTCGTACACAATTAGTAAAAAGTTAGCAGCAACAGTTACCCATTGTTAAAGCAGAGTCCCTGATTGGTTGAATGGCCACTTTTGGTGGAATAGAAGCGGGAGTGGTGATAGCAAGTTCGGCTAATGGTAGCGGCAGGGCTCTCAACTGTCATGCATGGACAGCGTTACACCTGCATTTCATCTCTCACTTGTAATTTCTCACTTCTAAACAACACATACACATACTGATACTAAAACATGGACACCTCACATACAAGAACAACAGGCTCTAAAGTCAATTCACAAAGTCAAATATCTATACTTTTGATGATGCAGTCATTTAATGCATGTTAACATGAAAATACACGTCTTTGATAGAAACTACTTTTTCTTCCACCTGGTAAGAGTGTAATACGTCAATATGTAATCCCAAGCAGAGCACAATGTGCTGCTTAAACAAGCGGATCATAAAAAAAGCTCTATGAGGAGTTATTTTAGCGCCGCAAAAAGGCAAAACCTGTGATGTTGATGGAAAACCAGTGAGAAGTTGTTGCAACAGAACTGATGATGAAGACTGGGGAGGAAGAGCACAGGTGATGCTAAACAGAAGGCAGGTACAGTGCTGTTACAGAGCAAGAAATAAATAGCAAAAAGTAGGCTATTGCTGCAGAATGAGCTACTTATATTTAGAAAAGCGGTAATTAAAATAAGTTACCAAATACTTCTTACAAATAACTGCATTTTTTAGCTTATTACAAATACAGAAATTACCAATTAAAGTAAGATTTCCTATTGATTGAATAAATTAAAGGTGATTAGATTGATCATACAGACCAACAACTTTAGTGAACTTTAAACAAAATACAAAATAACAGTTTATGAAATTTATATTTAGATATTTACAATAAGTCCAATTAGCTAAAATTGTTTGATGAATATTTGAAATGTTGGTGCTGACAATACTGGGTAATAATTATTCAGTTTATTTATTTACCTAAATATTTCAAAGGGGTTTTTAATTAGAACCATTCAATATTATACATTAGTGATTTTAAAAGATGTACTCACTCTCTCTGTTTAAGATGTGTTTTATTGGCTGCAGAGAACTATAGTTTTATTCTGTTGTAGGTAATTTATTGGATAAATAGATATTATCATTTGGACACTTGACCACTATTTTATTTTACAGTTAAACCTTTCTCCATCAGTCAGTTTTAGTTCATGTAGAATGAAACGCGATCCTTCTGCTATCGAAAAATTATATTTCAGGGTAGGGTGGAGAGTGTTTGAGTGACAGTGAAGTCAGAAAAAGAGGAAGGAAAATCTCAATCTGGATTACAGTGACGTCCACAGGGATTAGCGAGCCAGCTGTGATCTGTGATGTAACTCCTCCCCTCCAACGTTTAGATGGAGTTTTTGCTCATGAGAACTGATGTTATCTTTGTCACAATAAATGTAGAATAGAAGATTATGACAGTATGAGGTTTTTTTTTATAGAGCTGCAGTAAACAGTGGATTTCACCATTTTAGCATCAGGAACATTGGTTATTGCAAAGCTGTTTTATTTACAGGCCCTTGCACCAACCCTGCCGCATTATTAACACATAGACACCTGTCTCTATCTGTCCCAATGTTTTTATTATTCTCTCTCACCCCCTCCCCTCTCAGGGTGTATGGGATTTCCTGACAATCTGTCCCTCTTTTTGTTATGAAGATTGAGCAAGAGTGATCATTTATATTTAGAAAACCTCTAAAGCAGTCAGGAAATGTGTGTTTGGTCACTTCTATACATCTTAGCAGAAAATCACAGACCTATGATGGATGGATGGATGGATGGATGGATGGATGGATGGATGGATGGATGGATGGATGGATGGATGGATGGATGGATGGATGGATGGATGGATGGATGGATGGATGGATGGATGTACTTGGCAGAGAGCAGTTAACAGGTTGTTCATAGGAAAAAAAAAATACATTATTCTTACAAATTTTATGAGAAATAAACAGCCTTTCCAACAGTTAGATTCATTGGCTGTTGTTGCCACAGAGTAGAGTGGATCAAACACTTGTTATCTCAAGACACTTTACAGAGACAATGCAGTCCAATGGGTTAAAAGTTTCTATTGAGAAAAACCAGTTTAATGTATCAAGTAATTTACCTGCAAGCCATGGTCCAATTTTCACAATTTTCATAATTTTCATTTGCATTTTGTTGTTGACTCTTAAGCAATTCCTCTCACTGAGCATGAATGCAGTGACAGTGGAGAGGAAAAACTCCCTTCTAACAGGAAGAAAAGGAAATTGATGAAATGATGTCAAAGGATGAAAGAGAGCACATACACAACAGACTACAATGTAAAATATTTCAAACTCCAACATCTATAAACAGAGATGTTGATTGCAGCAGTACACCTGATATTTCATTCCAGGATGGAGTCACAGCTAAACAGGAACAAGTGAAACAACTATGACAGGAAAAAACAGTGAGAATATAAAGTTATTTGTGGAACTTTACAAATACTGCAGAATGAGAGGATAGATAGAGAATGACACAGAATGATGAAAAGTTGTCCCGATGTACTCCAGCAGCTTAAACTTATAGCAGCATAAATATAGAAAATAGCCCAGGATAACCTAAGTATTTTTGGAGGAGGTATGAGAAAGGTAGAGCCGCTTCCTTTCTTCTTGTGGTAATTTAGTTCAGTGTATTCTCATTATTAGTTCGTATGGAATCGTATGAAAAGTTATGCACCGTAATTTTGTACGTTTTAGACGTTTTTTTCGTCGCATTTCGTCGTATTTTTTACATCTTGCCTCGAGACAAGATATCCTTAGGCATGCGCATCTTACGCACCATTAAATAACATAGAATTTAACATACAATTAACCCTTACCCTGACCCTAACCCTAAGATACAAAACAGCAAGCAACGTAGTTAGAGACATGAAGAAGTAATTATTGCACTGTTTTTCCCAGTTTTATGTCCGTCCGCGGATCTGCTTTTTTCGTCTGTCTGGCTGCGCATACGCACTGATCTGTATTTTCGAGGAAAAACGTCCAAAACGTACGAAATACTGTGCATAACTTTTCGTACGATTCCATACGAACTGATAATGAGAATATGTTGTTTAGTTATACTTTTGGAATCTGATTATTTATCTCCTATTTGATGCTGCATTGCTCATTTCATCGTTTTATTGCCTTCCAGATGATGATCATGATGGCAGTAATAGGGGTTATATGTGTTGGAGTCGTCTTCTGTAAGTATAAAACTGTGACATTAAACTACTTAAAATCTATTAAATTGCCCGTAAACGTACTCTGTTCTGTTTGTATAAAAGATGTATGCAGTTGTCTGTCCTAAACAGGACAGATACAGTAAAATGTAAACAAAAAATTACAAAACAATTATACAGTTGACAAAATGAGATTTTTTTATGAAAGAATATAAACAGCAAAACTTACATTTGTGGGAAATAATTGGTTTTCTTTTTTAATAGCACAGCAAGATTAAAATGCCATTAGGTGAGACATAACCAACTGATATACTGTTATGTATGTATGGTCTTTTAAAGGATTTAAAGATAACCAGTTTTTAAAATTCAACATTTCGCAGTTTTAACTCTTAAGTATATTTGATTATGATTTTGTTTGAAATACCACATCAGAATGGTGCATAAGTATGATAAGGAATACAAATTATCATTAGCTACAGAGATTTTAACCAAATATTTTGTTTAGTTGTAATCCCCACTACTTTGACACATCTAAATTAAATCCACCAACCGGCTCTATGGTTGGTTTCCATGATTAGCAACTAAAATCAAACTGGCTGAAGTTTACTATCACAGTTCGTTAGAGACAAAGACCTGGCTATTCATCTAACCTCAGGAGTGGGACCATGTCAAGACTCCACGAGTCGATTTACAAGTCAAGACTATCAAGTCCTATGGTTTAAATTTAAAGTCATTAACAAATCATGATGAACATAATGTATAACAGTTTTGAATTTAACCCCTTTGACGCCTGAATTCACATTCATATATATAATATAATAGTTGTGTGTTTCCTTCCATGAAGTAGTTTCCAAAGTTAGAATGTTACTTTGACTGTTGCTCAAAAATAAATTGAATTTTAGGTGTGATGCATTTTTGACAACAGCTATAATAAATTATAACATTCATTGTCAAGGACCAGTCATACCAGAAACAGCTTGTCAAAGGTTCCTAGCTTCACACTGAATGTGTAATACTGGTGTAATACTTGGCTGTTTGTGCACTGCAAATGGTGTGTTGCATATTTGCAACAGTAGGCCCTAAAGGGTTTTAATAAGAGTTTTAAGTAATTTAAAGTAAATGTGATCAAGTTCAAGTCGAGTCACGGGTTTGTAGTTCTAAAGTCAAGGTTAAGTTGCATTGATTTTATGGTAAAACATGGAGAGTCACAGCTAATTAAGGGAAAGTCTACCTAACCTCAGAACACTGATCAGCAAAACCACAATTCTGAAAGAATTGCAGTGATACAAGAACCTTTTGACGCTGCAAATCAAATCAATCTAAATAGGACAGACTAAACACAGATGGAGGAAAGTACATAAAATACCTCTTAGAAAACACATCAGAGGCTGCAAGAGAGTTGACCCAAGTGTTTAGGCTCACCTAAGACCTTAAATTTGGGCACAAATGTTGTCCTGTTCACCAGAATATTTGGAGCTTTTATATCAAAAACTCAAAACACAAAGAAATTGAATCATGAATCTTTTCTTTTTATTTTACAAACACCATTTTGTGTTGTTTGTATCCTAAGATTTCAGGAGCATACTCTAAAGTTTGGTCACATTGACACATTTTTAAAGATTCAAAGAAAACAACATTTTTAGCAGGAACTATAAAAACAGTCCACTTGTCCTCATAGCATTTTTCATCATTATTACAGCACTATGCCAATTCTACTGCAATGTGAACTACTTTTCTTTAACTAGTAGTAATTTTATTCTTTCATTTCTGAGAAAATTACTTAACCTGATAAATGTTTTTCAGTGCAAGTTGAATAAAATCTCACCATTGCTTTTATTTTGTCTTCACTATATCCAGTATATTTCTTCTACTGAGCTGCTCTTCAGGACTGGAACTACAAGTCCCAGGACAAGTCTGCACCCACAAATGCCACCGCACCGAGTCGAGACTTTCCTCTGTGCTCCTTGTTCTCCTCTTCCTCAGAAACCTCCATGCATGGCCTTTAATGTGCGCCTCCTTTTCTCTCTGCAATGAACAGCTTTTTAGAAAAACTAGTTCATTTGGTTTTGATGGGCCTCCCTAAAATGAACCATTTGGGTGAGTTGGACAAAATCAGATCAGTTTGAATGTTTTATTGAGTACAGATAATTAAAGAAAACCTCAGATTTACTGGAAATCCACTTGTTAAACATGACCACAACTTCCTTATTCAACAGGAGACGGCATCTGTCTGAATACTGCAAATCAGTAAGGACTCTTAAGCCAAAAGTGCTTCTGCAGTCGCCATGATAAGTGCTGTCTGAATAGTGCAGTAGGGAAGCTTCCTATCATAGTTTTGGTCACATTATAACATCTAGAAGGCTAAAGGATGTCTAGATTCAGCACAGCAGCTGAGCTCCTTTCCTAACTTCTATAATGTTCGAACTATTGACCCCATGAAAGGCGAATGCGGAGGAGCATTTGCAGCTTTTGGATTAAGTCACAGTCACACAATATAACTTATCAATTACATCCTAACAATAATACATAAATGAAGCTGTGAAAACACTGTAGGTCAATCTTTATTTTCTTATGGAGTTGTGAAGCTGGTTTTAGTGGTTATGTTTAACCAAATCGTAGCCGACCCCTGAGAAACTGCTGACGTTCCGCTTATTGGTGATAATTCTTCCATTTTCTAAAAGCATGAATTTGACAGAATAAACAAGGAACCTTTGCGAATTAAAATTAAGTTTAAAAAAGGTGTGATGTGTTTCGCGTTGAGTCAAAAAGGATCTTAAATGAGAGAATTTGTGACCCCTTACCCCTGTAGGGCAAGGCAAGTTTAATTATATATCACATATCAGGGGCAAGACGATTCAAAGGGCTGTACATGGAAAAAGAAAAAAAGAAAAGAGCAATGCAGTGGCATAGAGGCAGCACAAATAAAAAGATTGATGAAAATATTTAAAAACGGATCAAATGATAAAGAAAAGGAAATAAAAGTTAGATTGGAAACTTAACTAATAATGTGTAGATTGTTCAGTCAAAGGCCAATCTAAAAGTATATGTTTGTAATCTGGATTTTGAGCCACTGATGGGTTCAGTGCTTTTACAGTTTTTTGGAGGAATTTACTTCAGATTTGTGAAGCATCAGAACTAAACGTAGCTTCTCGATTCTGGTTCTGGGTAAAATAGATAAGAAGACCTGAGAGGTCTGGGTGGTTGATCCACTGACAGCAGGTCTGTAATGCATTTTGGAGCTAAGCCATTGATTTATAGACTAACAGAAATATTTTAAAGTCTTATCTCCGAGACTGTAGAGCCTATGTGGTCAGTTGGAGGTTGGAGTTGTACTTTCATTTTGTCTTTTGGTGGAACACTAACAGTGAAACTCATTGATTGCTAACATTTATTGCTTTAAAACGTCCGTTCCAGAGTTGTCTTTCGCTCCTGACTCCGCCCTCTCCTCAGGTGTTACTGTCAGTGTTTCTCTGCTGCTGCTGATTTAAACCCAACCTGACTTCTGTTCCAACCTCTTTCTGTCTGTTTTGATCCATCCTGTGTTTAATTGATGTTTTGTCTGCCGGCTTGTGGTTTCTGTGCTTTGAATGTGCAACATGTTTATTTGTTCCCAGAACTTGTTTTTTTGAGGGATTGAATTTATGCATTAAAATGAATGAATTCATTGCATTATGGTTGACAGGAAAATCAAATAAACTCATATTTGCATTTAATTTTCTCCATTTGTTTGTTTTGAATCCGTTTTGAATTTTATCGTGCGAAGTTTAGGTCATTTCCTTTTTGCCCCCAAATAGTTTAAGTCAGATATTTATATTAAAAGATGCTAAAAAGACACTACATTATTTTTCTCACTTTCTGACACCCTTTAAACAGGTGCTTTATATTCAATACTTTATTTTTATTTTGACGATTTCAGATTTTTAAGGTTTCCCTCTGTGAAATTGTTTTCAGTTTGTTTCTATAAAGACTAAACCTTGCTGGATTTTTTTCACTTAAGCTTCATTTTCTATTTGATAAACTTAAGACTAATAATCAAGGTAATGTTTTTACAATTTCCTTTTACAATATGAGACTATATAGGCTGTTGATTTATACATGAGCTTCACGCACAACAATGGATGTATAAAAAGGAACTTGTTCGAAAGTGAGTGGGAATTAACAAACTTTTTAAATCAACAACAGGCACAAAAAAAATCACAAAAACCTATTTAATTAAACTAAAGTTTTATTTCACCAAACTACATCGAAGCTGATGTTTTTTTTTTTTTAAGCTGTTATACAGGTCCTTCTCAAAATATTAGCATATTGTGATAAAGTTCATTATTTTCCATAATTTAATGATAAAACTTGAACATTCATGTATTTTAGATTCATTGCACACTAAATGAAATATTTCAGGTCTTTTATTGTCTTAATAAGGATGATTTTGGCATACAGCTCATGAAAACCCAAAATTACTATCTCACAAAAAATTAGCATATTTCATCCGACTAATAAAAGAAAAGTGTTCTTAATACAATAAAAGTCAACCTTAAACCTTAAACCTCTTGCGTCTCTCAACTTTCTCTTCACAATATCCCACAGATTCTCTATGGGGTTCAGGTCAGGAGAGTTGGCAGGCCAATTGTGCCCAGTGATATCATGGTAAGTAAAGCATTTACCAGTGGTTTTGGCACTGTGAGCAGGTTCCAGGTCCTGCTGAAAAATGAAATCTTCATCTCCATAAAGCTTTTCAGCAAATGGGAGCATGCGGTGCTCCAAAATGTCCTGATAGCTCTCTGCATTGATCCTGTCCTTGATAAAACACAGTGGACCAACACCAGCAGCTGACATGGCACCCCAGACCATCACTGACTGTGGGTACTTGATACTGGACTTCTTGCATTTTGTCTTCCTCCAGACTCTGGCACCTTGATTTCCAAATGACATGCAAAACTGAGCAAAAGTCCAGTTGTGCTGCCACCCTCTGGTTTAATCAATGTTAAAGAATCCTTTTAAAAAATCCTTAATCTGGTTTATGATGTGAATCATCACCAAAATTAAATAGATTGTTCCTTGGTTTGACGCACACCTTTGGTAAACATTTAATTGAAATCCTTTCATAATTTCTTAAGTTATCATGTAAAAAGTCACGCATCTTCCTTGGTAGAGGTAAAAGGGCACATTTTCTAATTATGTCAAATTAATATAGAAAATATGTCTGCCAGCATTGTTTCACAGCTGACACCCAAACGATTCGGTCCATCAGTTTGGACAAGTCGCCTCACATAGGAAGAATAATTCACCTGTTCTGTGATGTTAGAGCAATAAACAGGCACAGAGCAACTGAATGAAAAGCATCTTTTCATCAAAGCTGATCCATTCACAGATGGTGTCCTTATGAGCAAAGCCAAAGCTCTTTGAATCCTCACTTTATGTTGCATCTATTTAGGCGCAGCCTTTATCATAACCTGCATCCCCAGGTTCACCAACAATCACATGAAGTTTGCAGATGACACCATGGCGGTGGGCCTCATCAGAGATGACAACGAACAGGACTGCAGAGAGGAGACGGAGCAGCTGGTACAGAGATAACAACCTGATCCTGGAGGTGGAGAAGACGAAGGAGATCGTCGACTTCAGGAAGAACTGAGAACCTATCCACGCTCCACTGCTTCAGGCTCAGCTGTAGAGGTGCTCAACAGCACCAAACTCCAGAGGGTGTCTCTAAAATGTTGGAAATGTCAACATTTAACATCTGTTCTGTTCTAATCCAACCCAAATAAGGAAAAAAAGTTCTGATTATTTTGGTATTTAGCAAGAGGAAATTTGTTGGTAATCCTATTTGATCTACAACTGTTAGATTTAATGAGAGAAAAGATTTTCCATCAGTCCTTTTTTTAAACAGCGTTTGTTACAGTATATGGGATCTAATCACCCAATATGATCAGCAGATTATTGATTAATCCTGAACGCTCTCCAGCAGCTGATCAGCACCTTTTGTTCATACTTTTAACTTTTCCCTTCTTAAAGAAATTATACAACCAGACTAAAACTGCAAAATATCAAAGTTTTGTTTGCCTTTCCCCCTAATTTCAGGTGCTGACATTTTTTTTCCTGAATTGTTACTAGTTAAGCAGAGAAATAAGTTGGGAGTCTCTGGTCAGACTATGTTTTCAGATGATCATTCATAATGTGAAATACCTCAGAAATGATAAAGTGGGAAGAGAGTAACTCAAGGAAATTCCTATTACCTCCTCTAGCAGCAGATATTTTCTATTTGTCCAAGGAGAATATATTTAATTAAAATAAAGCTGATGGGAAATGATTCTGTTCTCAATCATCCATGTTCTCAGAAAGGAGTTTTCCTTTTTACACATCTCTATAACAGACCACAGCAGCCTTCTGTAGGTCCTTTGTTTACATTTGTTTTTCCAGAAACTGCTTTTAGCATCTTGCAATCTGCCTTCAACTTCGCATGGGCCTGTTTTTATATTCTGTACAGGAACATGGCTTTGAACATTCATTTAAAACCCTTTTTTTATTTCCATCCCAGCACTGTAGTCTTCTTTTTTCTGATCATGAGGTTCACCAAAAACGTCATGCCATTAAAACTTTCAGTAGGACCTCCGTCCAGAACTGATGAAACACTTTTTTTTTTTTGTACATTTTTTATTTAGGTCCCAAAAAACCATCATAATAACATTATATCAATAATATTAATAAAGAAATTGAAAAAAAAAGAGGGAAAAACAATATAAAAAAAATTCTGTCCACAGCCTAATTTTTTGGACAGGAAGGAGATCTGATCCCCCAGAGAACAGTCCGTTTATGGGTGAAGAGTGAAGCAGGACGCGGCTTCAGGTTCGGGACGCGCTGACCGTCGTTCTGCTGTGCACCAATCAGGAATGTTGATGTGAGGCGGCGGGGTTCCAGACGATCTACTGCTGCGGCATCTGCTGGAAAACCAATGACAGATTAGAGCAACGCAGGCGAGCATCAGACACGTTTAGACAGTCAGCCGCATGCTTCACTACCTGCTGCGTCTGGGTCTGTGTTTCGGGTCCTCGGCTCGCTAGGCGGCTGAGGATGTTCCTCTCTGACATCTGGAGCCGGACAGCGACCGGCGGTATCCGGGCGATGGTTGCCGGTAGGCGGGTCACATCTGCCTTCATGTCACTCAGCAGTTCTTCCAGCTGCTTTAGCACTGAAACGCAAACCAATCAAAGAGTCCGTGTCATTCCAACAGGTTTGCATCGGATCCAGAACCAGCAGCTCTCCAGGAAAAACATACATTAGGTGTGTCCTAAACAATGAAGGTCTAAAGTGATTAGCTATGAATAAGGACAGTCTAACCTTCAGCAGCAGTCAGGCAACTTTCGTTTCCTAGCAACGGGGCATGAGGCAAAGAACTATACAGTCTGAACATTATCTTTTTATATAGTTTAATCTGCTATACATGTTATTAATCAAAGGAAAACAATTGAGAAAAATCTTAGAAAACAAATTAATAAGGCTTCATTGGAATGACAACAGAAAAAAAAGTGCAATAATCGCCATGTAAGAAAAGTTAAGGTAAAATTTTCATAATTTATCACTTAGATGAAGATAAGGCGTCTTTATTTCCTTTTTAATAGAGATCCCAGAAAACAGGAAATGCCTTCATTATTTTAATGCTTTTTAAAGAGCTACAGAAAAAAAAATTCTGAAAAATATACGAGTCTATTGGAAATTAATAACTCTTAAATGTTTGCATAGAAGGTATTTGGAAAGTAAAATCAGATCGATAAACATGACGTTAATTTTAACCCACTGAATGGGAAGAAAAAAAAAGAAATTGAGTAGCACCCCTGGCTGCAGGCGTGAAGATGACCTACAGTAATTATTTATCTCATCCTCCAGTAAAATTCATTAAAATGCGAGTTCTTGGGCCTAATTTTATTTTAAAAATTCATAGAAAAAACAGAACAGTCTTGAATTAGCCAAACATGAGCAAACTGATATTATCTGACGGAATTAACTTCCGCCCAGCGATAGGTTCAATGCTCTTGGCCGAGAATAAGGAGCTGAAGCTGAGAAATGTGAAACTTTAATTACCGTAGGAAGGTTCGTTAATGAACAGAGTAGATATTTAACTAACACACATTCTCGCTTAAAAATATCTTACGTTTATTTACTAGAAAATGTTGCCACCGCTGCCCAAACTTTGCCAATCTGCTCCAACCCACACTGAATCATGGGAAATGGTGTCCAATAAGATACTCCTGATGGATCATTTTTATCTGCATATATAAATGTTGCCTCTGTTGGCTGCATTTAAAGGATCCTAATGAGGATCTGGGGATGTGGACAGCCTGTGTCGCAGCGCTGTGATGTCATCGGTCTACAGATGTGAACCCCAGAACTAGGACACACCCATTAATACCATTTAGTCACAACCTTCTGCTGTTCGCTCTACCTTTGTGCAGGACGGCGTTGGCCGGTTTGTTCCCGGACATGGACTCCTTGCTGAGGTGCTGGTGGGACTCAGCCAGACACTCCACCTCACTGAAGCGGGTGTTGAGCGCCATGGAGGGGTGGGAGGGATCTTCAGACATATTGAGATAGGCGGCGCGGCGCAGCTGCTCCTCGATCACCAGCGCCTGCTCCAACAACTGCAGGGGGAATGAGAGGTTGGTTCCTATTAAATATTTTCCCACACCTCAGATGTTTGATACAACTGTCAGAGCATG